TGGCCAATGGCTCCAATAAAGAACCGGCCATGGAGACGGGAGATCGGTTCAAACGCGATCCCATACCAACACAGAAGTAGCTGGACTTGGACGGGTTAGGCCTAAGTCCTACCTTGGCAGACGCAGCCAGAAAATTATCCAAAAAAAATTGTATGCCATGCTTTGATTTACTGACAAGTTCCGCATCATCAGCATATAAAAGAACCGACAGCTCTCCATCCATCTCATATGGGGAGAGAGCCGCCGAAGTTGAAGTCAAAGCCTCTTCCAGGACCATGTCTAGGACGAAGTTAAAAAATTGTACTGATCTCCCTGTAAGACTCCAGAATTAAATTTGATATCCTTAATTCCACCTATGGAAGTAGAGGCATTATTAAGGACGTATTTAAATTAATCAATCAGCGGTTCAGGAACTCCTAGTCTCCGACAGCAATGATAACAGAATCATGTGAAACGCTGTCAAAGGCTTTGGAGAAATCAAGGAAGATACAATGACATGGCACTCCCCTGCCTCCGCGTTGATTGGCTTTCTTTAAGATTGCTTTCAAAATCGCATTGTTCTCAAGACAGCCATTGACCCTCCTGAAACCCCGTTGGGAGGAATCGATTGGGGCGCAGGCTAATCTTGAGGCCAAAATACGATGGAAAATTTTGGTAAAATGAGGCATCACTGTGATAGGCCTATAATCATTGGAAGTCCTAGGGTCGTCAACCTTAGTATCAAAGTAGTAATTGCTTTAAGTAATTCAGAAGGGGGCCTTTGCCCAGATAAAATTGAATTGAAATATTTACTTAAAATGGCTGGATCTGCACAGGCTTGTTCATTCTTGTCTATAGCAGGTCCTGCAATTTACACAATAATTAGAAATTTACTAAGCCCTGAAGATCCGGCCGATTGTTCCTTAGAAAAGCTCGAGGAAACGCTAAAAGGGCATTATAAGCCTAAAAAATAATTGTATATGAAAGATTCTTATTTTATCGCAGAGAGCAACACTCAGGGGAGAGTACTTGGATTATGTTGTAGCTCTCAAGCAGCTAGCGAAGTCTTGCGACTTTAAAGAAAATTTAGATGAGATGCTCAGATACCGGTTTGTCATGGGTCTTAACGATGAGATCTCCCAAAGAGAACTTCTACAATGGAAGAGTTATGATTTTAAACGGCATATAATTTTGCTGTTGCAAGAGAAGCCGCAAATAAAAACGCAAAAGGATTGGCTGGAAAAAAGGATGAAATAAATATCACCAGGAAAAAATCTTCTAAGGCCTTTGTAAAGTCTAAAAAAGTTAGTAATAGTAAGAGGCCTTGTAATGGTTGTGGAAAGATAATTGGAAGGATGAATGTCCTTTCAAAGATACTATTTGCCATCATTGCAAAGCCCCTTTAACAAAGGTCAAAGGGCGCGATTCACGCAACTTCCCAACGGGAACAAGTGTGAATTGTGTGTCGATCGGATCAAGAACCTGCAGCACATCCTGCAGGTATGCCCAAGGTTAATGGGTGCGAGGACGAAGCGCCATGACCAGGTCCAAGCCCTATTGGAGGGATCCCTGAAAGCCAAAAAAAAAACATACCACAAGGACAACATCATCCCCATGGGAGGAACCGTGAGGAACCGGACCTTGTGGTAATAGACGAAAAGAAGATCAGCGTAGTGGATCCGACCATCGTCTCAGATTCTCTCTCTCTCCAGGAGGCAGAGAACAACAAAGCCGCCAGCAAATTCAAGAGGGCGCTCCTGAAGTACTTTGAGTGCGAGGAGTCCCATGGAATTGAGAAGGTGGAAGTGGTCCCTATAGTCATCAACTGGAGAGGTGTGATGTCAGAAAGGACGTACAGGGCCCTAACTGGGACCGTTGGAATGACGCCCTCCTTCGTCAAGTACGTCCAATTGAAAGTTCTGACCACCTCCCACATTATCTATAGGGAGGAGAGAGACAGACCCGACAGGGATGTCTGAACTCACCCCCTATAATAGCTCCGCAAGTATATCTGACGGCAGTTTACCCAAAGCGTTTTAGCGAATGATTTTAACACCTTTTCTCAGCTTTTAACGTTTTACCACCTTTTTTAAAAGCTATTATAAAATCCTTTTCTTTTAAAATAACAGACTAAATGACTGGACAGTTGGGGCCGCCTGCCATTTGGGCAACCAACAAAATTGAACAACATCCTATATTAATTATTTTATTTCCATATGTATCAGTGTGTGGGTATGGCGACTTGTTAGTTGCCGCCATATACCTGCACACTTAAATAAACGTTGCTTCCGTTGGACAGGGAGCGCACAGACTTGGTGTCAAGCGAGGGCAATGTATTGTAAAAATGTGCCAAATTCTGAATAAATACCGGGATCGATACCCGGCTCCTCTTTGATTTTTAAATTAATTTAGCTTAAAAATATTAACAAAAATGTTTTTTTACTAAGTCAGTTAATGATTACGACTGTAGTAATGTGGCCCCATGGTGTAATGGTTAGCACTTTGGACTCTGAAACCAGCGATCCGAGTTCAATATCGTTGGGACCTTGCAGTTTGAATTTGTTGTGCTAACCTCTTAACCTTTTTTTTAAAATATGATCTTACCTAGATCATAACCAATGTTACCTTGATCTGCCAATGAAATACTTTTATGCTGATCTTTTTCATTAATAAAAAGAATATATATATATATATATAAATATACATCTATATATATATATATATTTATATAGTTATATATAAATATACATCGATATATATATATAGTTATATATAAATATACATCTATATATATATATATATAGTTATATATAAATATACATCTATCTATCTATATATATGGTTATTAGGGTTGTTCTTATTTTTCAAGTGTTTGAAATGTTAGCCATTGAGTGGATTTTCTGTTTCTTGGTGATAAAAGAAGACGACATACAAAGTTTGAACAAAATCGGTCAACATTACGAGGTCGCGCAAAGAGGTCAAAGTTTTAAAAATTTAGTAAAAATATAGTTTCCCGCCAATTTCTTCAAAATGGTGGACGTTACAGACTTCAATAATAATAATTAATTTAAAGGAAATCTAATTTACTACCAGACGTATGTTTGATGTTTTTTAATAAAACAAAGTTTTCAGTAAAAACAAAGCAAGAAAGGGAGTGAGTATTGTTAGCTTATTTCATAGCTTTTTTGTATCAATTAACTTCACTCGCCTGTAGAAGATGACTTGTTCGCTTCAGAGTAAAATAGTACTTTTAAGTTTAGTAAAACTTTAGATGATAAATCCAAAAATGACCTTGGTTACATTCTATCAGTTCAGAATTCAGTACAATCTGAGTTTACATCATATGATTCAGAGCCTGTATTGACCTATAAGAAATCGATTATGAAAAAAATAAATAATAATTTGTTTCTTAGATTTGCGTCAAGGTATCCTCTCAAAATTTTACTTTGTCTCTGACGCATACATAATCCATTATATGCGTCATTTTGTACGCAAAATAGGCTTTTTTTAATGTACATATAACTCTCTATTTATTAAACTCACATGATTTAGTATACCAAAATATTAAAGCTGGTTAACCAAGCTTTCATTTGATATGTTTGGTGTTCTAAAAATCGCTATACTTTAAGAGATATAAGCAAATACGTACTGTCCCCCAAAAATTGTCTTTTGATATGAGAATATACGATTACCATCTGGTAATAGTGTTAGTGTTACCTGGATAGAAAGAGAAGGGAGGGAGTATTTTTCCTCCCTTCTCTCCCTTCTTTTTTTCTTGCTATCCAGGCAACACTAACTGGCGTTACCAATGGTAATCGTATATTCTCATATCAAAAGATCAATTTTTGGGGACAGTACGTATTTGCTTATATCTCTTAAAGTATGGCGATTTTTAGAACACCAAACATATCAAATGAAAGCTTGGTTAACCAGCTTTAATATTTTGGTATACTAAATCATGTGAGTTTAATAAGTAGAGAGTTATATGTACTTTAAAAAAGCCTATTTTGCGTACAAAATGACGCATATAATGGATTATGTATGCGTCAGAGACAAAGTAAAATTTTGAGAGGATACCTTGACGCAAATCTAAGAAACAAATTATTATTTATTTTTTTCATAATCGATTTCTTATAGGTCAATACAGGCTCTGAATCATATGATGTAAACTCAGATTGTACTGAATTCTGAATGATAGAATGTAACCAAGGTCATTTTTGGATTTATCATCTAAAGTTTTACTAAACTTAAAAGTACTATTTTACTCTGAAGCGAACAAGTCATCTTCTACAGGCGAGTGAAGTTAATTGATACAAAAAAGCTATGAAATAAGCTAACAATACTCACTCCCTTTCTTGCTTTGTTTTTACTGAAAACTTTGTTTTATTAAAAAACATCAAACATACGTCTGGTAGTAAATTAGATTTCCTTTAAATTAATAATTATTATTGAAGTCTGTAACGTCCACCATTTTGAAGAAATTGGCGGAAACTATATTTTTACTAAATTTTTAAAACTTTGACCTCTTTGCGCGACCTCGTAATGTTGACCGATTTTGTTCAAACTTTGTATGTCGTCTTCTTTTATCACCAATAAACAGAAAATCCACTCAATGGGTAACATTTCAAACATTTGAAAAATAAGAACAACCCTAATGGTTATATATAAGTATATATATCTATATATATATAAATATATTAGCTAAAGTAGAATAATGTTATCTATTTCATGATAGGAATATATTTATTTCTTAATAAAGTATTTCTCGACAAATGTATTCTTGAGGTTTTTTAAATATTTAAATGAAATCTTTTTGTTTTTTTCTTATTGAATAATGAAATAAACACTATTTGAACTGTTCTACTATGATTGGCCAAAATTTTCATTGGCTGTGATAGCTCAGTTGGGATATCGCTAGACTGAAGATCTAGAGGTCGCTGGTTCGATCCCGGCTTATGGCATTTTTATGATAACTAGTTTATTTTTAGGGAATTTATTTAAAGTAACAAAAAATATAATTTTATCTTTAGAAAAAGGCACTTTTTCGAACTTTCAATCTTCTTTTTACTAGACAGGCGCTTTAACCAACTAAGCCACGGCGCCATGACAAATATATGGTATTATTATACATCAATAGATATGGACTGTAGAAAAACGATTTCATTATCGTTTAATTATTCAAGAAATAATATATTTATTTGAAACAGGTGTGTAGTAGATGTGCCTAATGAATATCAACATATTAAAATGATATGAAAAAATAGGGACACAAAATATAAAAAAGAGTCACCCAACATGGGGCTTGAATCAGTCACTCCTCTCAGTGATTGCTTTCTTTAATAAACTTCATAAGGTCCCTAAGCAATTCTTAGCTGAAGAAAAGGGAGAAGAGATGCCTTCATCCTCGCCAGTTGAACACAAAGAGAATATCCTCTACCTTTGCCTAATCAGAGATGGGTCTTTTGTTACGTCATCAATTAAGTCTGTGTATTATATGTGGGTCACTTACACTTCGTCCTTTCCATTTTGTCCCTGCCCAAATCGTCCCTGCCAAAATCGTCCCGTGCCCAACTCGTCCTCACTATTTCCCAGAAAAGAAGACATACCCCTAACATTCATTCATGAGGAGTTCCTTAGCTTCAGGGAACCCTCGTCCAATAGACTCTCGGCTTCCGTCAAGCACAGTGATAGGGTATTGGGGTTTCTAACCCTCGGCCAAAGGACGTTCGGGTCCCGCCAAGAACAGTAATGAGATATTGGGGTTTCTAACACTCGGCCAATGGACTCTCGGGCCCCGCCAAACACAGTAATGGAGCATTGGGGTTTCTAACCCTCGGCCAATGGGCTCTCGGGTCCCGCCAAGCACAGTGATGGGGTCTTGGGGTTTCTAACCCTCGGCCAATGGACTTTCGGGTCCCGCCAAGCACAGTGATGGGGTATTGGGGTTCCAAACCCTCGGCCAAATGACTTTCGGGTCCCGCCAAGCACAGTGATATGGTATTGGGGTTTCAAACCTTCCGCCAACGGACTCACGGGTCCCGCCAAGCACAGTGATGGGGTATTGGGGTTTCTAACCTTCGGCCAACCGAAAGTCCTTTGGCCGAGGGCTAGAAACCTCAATACCCTATCACTGTGCTTGGCGGGGCCCGAAAGTCCATTGGCCGAGGGTTAGAAACCCCAATACCCTATCACTACTGTGCTTGACGGAACCCGAGAGTCTATTGGACGAGGGTTCCCTGAAGCTAAGGAACTCCTCATGAATGAATGTTAGGGGTATGTCTTCTTTTCTGGGAAATAGTGAGGACGAGTTGGGCAGGGACGAGTTGGGTCTAGGACGAATTGGACAAGGACGAATTGGGCACGGGACGATTTGGACAGGGAGAATTTGGGCAGGGACGATTTGGGCAGGGACAAAATGGAAAGGACGAATTGGGCGGTTACGATTATATGTACATGATAAGCAACAACATATTAAAATAATTACAATTCTTCTCAGTTAAAAAAATATATGGACATAAAAAATTTAAAAATGAGTTGCCCAACGTGGGGCTCGAACCCACGGCCCTGAGATTAAGAGTCTCATTTAAGTCCTTTGTTCCAATAAAACAAAACGGAACACAATAAAATTTGGCTAATATACAATTTCAAATTGTAGATTGCCTCTCCCTGCTGTCAGGAGAACAAAAGAGGCAACAAGTCGCGACTATAAAAACATGAATGGAAAAGGGAAAACAAAACAATAAATAAACAAAACAAATAAAACAACAATACAAATTAAAAACAGATCTATAGCACAAATGGAAAGGTAAAAGGTAAAAATAAGTTAAAATTATATTACTAACTTAAAATTTAAAATTACGGATTATTTGAATTAAAATTTTAGTTAAACACATCAATAGGAAAGTAAAGGAAGGAAGGGATTCGTTGGTTTAAAATTAATTATTAGTCACTTCTATCAGTGATAGCTCGCTCTTTTTTATAAACTTCATTAGAACCCTTGACAATCCTCAGCTGGAGTGAGGGTAAAACTGAAACCCTCATACTGAGCTTGCGCGACATCTCTTTAAAAGACTCCCTGTATACAACTCCTATCCAATTGCACACAAACGGAATGACTTCAATCTTGTCCATATTGCTCATAGGACGCTTGATTTAGAAGAGCTTCCTTAAACTCAACAGAGTCGTACTTATTGATTTTATCATTGTAAGCCTCCTCAAAGGGCCTCTTGTCACTAATAATCGTTGGGTCAACCACGTAGATCCTGTCTCCACGGAAGCACAGAAGATCAGGCTTCCGGACAGTGTCACCCATTTTAATAATATTGTTGTTTGTAAAAATTATTTTTTTCCTTTTGAGGTCCCTCTCAATGACCCCCTGGAGGTCATCATGCCTTTTAATGCGGTTTTTAATTCTTGTGCCCTGGGACACATTTGAAGAATGTGGTCAAGATTCTTGACCATCCCAGGGCACGCCTCACACCTATTTCCCCCTTCAAATATAGAAAAACGGTTCTTTTTACTTTTTACAAAAGGGGCACCTGAGATAATTCTCAATGCAGCTGCAAATTCCACATCTTGAATACAGAATTTTCCTGAATTAAGGAACATGGAGTTCCTTTGACCCTTCAGGAAGGATTTGCAGCCAGCTGTGTCCAACTTCATGTAGAGTTCGTCAGCAAGGGCCTTCCTAGCCTCAACCTTATCTGTAACAGGCCTTCCACCTAATCTAACTACGGATAGTCCAATCAAGTCTGGACAAGCCCTTGCTGCAGCTTTTATCAATGGGTCCTCACTCTCTGAAATTGCCTTAGCATATTTTTTTTTTGAAGGGTGACCATTTTGGTCTTGAAGTGGAGAAGGCCCAATCCACCCATGGAAACAGGAGCATGAAAGAACTCCGTTGGTGTGCACTTTGGAAGTCGAGCCAGGAACGTACAAACTCCCGAGTCAAATAATCTGCCGTTTCAACATCTCTGGATCCAATTCTGCCAAGAGATAGTTCATAAATAAATTTAGGTAATAAAAAGTCTCTTAGGCAGATGTATTTATGGAATCCAGAGATGTTGGCCTCCTGAATATTCGCGATGCCCTTCCTAAGGTACGCCGTACAATTAGAAATTGGCAAACCCGAGGGGCGATTAACTAGGCCCAGATACTTCTGCGTCTGAGCCATGGCCATGGGCCCTAACATTTAGCCCGCCTAGGAGATGGGAGATCGATTATTCATCGACCCCATGCCGATGCAAAAGTAGCTCGATTTCCTCGGGTTTGGTCCAAGTCCTACCTTATCCGCTGCCATCATAAAATTATTTATAAAATTTTGTAAACCACTTCTTGATTTACTGACAAGAACTGCATCATCAGCATATAATAAAATTGACGACTTCTCACCATCCATCTCATATGGAGCGAGAGTTGTCGGGTCATAATTTAAAGCTTAAAGGACCATGTCCAAGACAAAGTTAAAAAGTTGCACCGATAACGGGTCTCCCTGTAGTACGCCCGAATTAATTTTGATATCTTTAAGACTGCCTATGGAAGTTGAGGCGTTCTTAGAGACATAAGAAAAATAATTAACGGTTCAGGAACTCCAAGACGCTGACAAGCAATGAGAACTGACTCATGTGAAACTGAGTCAAACGCCTTAGAGAAATCAAGGAAGAGTCCATAACAAGGAACCCCCTTGCCACCGCGATTATTGGCCTTTTTTAAATTACTTTCAGAATGTAATGTTTTCCAGGCAGCTATTGACCTTCCTGAATCCTCTCTGTGAGGAGTCATTGGGGCGCAAGCTAACCTGGAAGCCAATATCCTATGGAATGTTCTTTTAAAGTGAGGCATCACAGTGATTGGCATATAGTCAGAGGGGATTTACTGTAATATAATCGTACATATTATTATCGCGCACGCCTTAATCGCAGCCTATAACATCGTATGCTTTTTTTCGTACGTTCCTTTATCGCACGCCTTTAACATCGCAATCTTTTTAAAGGGAGTATTATTAACGCGTTGCTCAATTGTCGTTGCTGCTTATAATCGCCCGTTTAAACATCGTGGTCATTATCATCGTAGTTTTACTTCAATGAATTCATGAATCCATAAGAGGAAAAAAAGAAAAAAAAGAAAGGGGGCTGAAGGAAATAATAATAATAAAAGATATCAACTCATCATCAGTCGTGAGTAAAAACAACAACAAACATCTCGAAATTTCTGAAGAACACATGCATAAACATGAGGGGGGGGGGGGTGGAGAGAGTCAAGAGTGACGTCACCATCAACAGTCGTCAAATACTAGAGCCTCCACTGATCATAGTTTGGAATATATTTTTTTGGGTGTCATGAAAGCATTCTGGCCTAGACTTGAAACTTGTTAGGGATCCCTCGATCCCTTCCTCCATCCCTCTTATCTTCCCGGGACTACAGGATAAATGCCTTGGACACCAAGAAACGAGTCTCCTCCGTCCCTTCCAGTAAGAAACACATTCCCCTCACCTCGACTTCGTGAATGAATGGAGTCCTACCACTCCCTCGTCTTCGTCAGTCAAAGGAGTTCCTTCCCTCATCTTCGTTAGAGAGCTCTATCCCCGTCCCTCTTCTTCGTGAATGGAACCCTACCCCTCGTCGGACTTCGTTAGAGAGCTTCCCATCCCTCGTCTTCGTTTTGGGCTACCCTTCCCTCGTCTTCGACCAAGGAGGTCCTTCCTTCGTCTTCGTTAGAGGGCCCCCCGTCCCTCCTCTTCGTGAATGGAGTCCTGCCCCTCATATTCATGAATGGAGCCCTACCCTTCATCTTCGTGATTGGAGTTCCGTCTTCCATAACCTCCTACATATTGAAGACTTTTTCCTCTTTTTGGAATTTGCTATTGCACGCCTCAGTCCTGTATTTCTATGAAATAAGTCTCATGATGTCCTAATGAATCCAAAGGACATGAAGATCATAAAATCTCGGTGAAGGAGCCTTGATCATCAACCCTAACAACTACCCCCCCCCCCCCCCCCTCCCAGACTAACGACCTGGACGTGACATTTTCCAGAGTGCCATTGAGCTGATTGCTCAACAGTATCCTATAAATGTTTAATTTAAATGAAATATAAAGATATAATTCTA